AAAAAATTTGGTAGGATGATTTGTATTAACTTTTTCAATTTTTGCTTAGTAAATATAGTCTTCAATTAATAACTTAATAACCTACCTCTGACGGTATTTGGAAGAATTTTAAAACATTTTTGAAACTTTATAATGAAAAAAAAAAAGAAAAATGCAAACAATTTTTCTTCAGACTGTCCTTAATATATCAGGTCATCCCATAAGTTCTCTCCGAATTTTAACTTTTTGTTAAAATGAACAAAATTTAAAGAGTATTTTATAATGTCTAATGGAGCTGAACATTATTTTTATGTTTAGATGCATTTAAACTGATCAAATTTTATTTCAGAGAACAATAAGATTAAATTTTATTAATTTTTATTTTTATGCAGCTCTTGAAGAAAATCCTGCTTTATCAGTTGAGGAATTGGCAGTGATTCTCAGTTCAAACCATACAACTGTTCTTCGTCATCTTCAACAACTTGGAAAAGTTCCTAAACTTGGAAAATGGGTGCCTCATGAATTGTCTGAAAACAACCTCAAATCCCGAGTTAACATCTGCTCTTCTCTCCATTCTCGCCAACTTGTTTCACTTTTTTGGATAGACTTGTGAGGAAAAATGGATCTTTTATCAAAATGTTAAGTATAGACAGTGGCTTGGTAAAGGGGAAGGACCCCAGTCACAGCCGAGAAGGGAACTTCATGGGCAAAAGGTTCTTCTTTTAATCTGAATCTGATGGGATTGCCAAGGAATAATCCACTTTGAATTCTTACCACCTAATGCAACAATTAATGCTCAAATATACTGTCAGCAATTAGAGTGTTTGAACCAAGCTTTGAGGAAAAAAGACCTGCTCTAGTGAATCGAAAAGAGGTGATGTTTCATCAGGACAATGCGCGACCCCGCACCGCAAGAATCACGTCACAAAAGATCGAAGAACTTGGTTGGGAGAAAATTTCTCATCCACCTTATTCTCCCAATCTTGCTCCTTCAGACTACCATTTGTTTCGTAGCTTACAGAATCATTTGGAAGAAACAGCTTTTGTAACACAGGAAGAGGTTAAAACTGACATTTGTGAGTTCTTCAAATCAAAGCCAAAAGAATTTTACAGTAATGGAATTAGTAAGCTTAGATGGAAGGAAGTCATAGATAATCAGGGAAAATATATTGTTGATTGAATCTGTAATTAAATTTAACATTTGGTCACTTGTTTTCTTTATTCAAAATTCGGACAGAACTTATGGGATGACCTGATATATTATTCATAGAAACAATTAGAAGCTTATCTAATTAAATGATTAGATAGGTTTATTGCAGTTTTTATTTTACGATTTGGAGCAGATTTTAGGAAACTTGATAATCGTTTAAAAAAAATGATGATTTACATTCTCCAAAGTGTTCTGCTTTAACTAATAAAAACATTTCGTTGACGATTTTAAATTTTAAAATTTTTTTATGAAATTAGGGTTGGGGATGGGCAACAGATGTAAAAAAATATTTTCACCAAAATTTTCTAAAAAAAATTTCAAAAATAAATTCATTCATTCGTGACTAATTCTTGAAAGTTTCATTAAAATCCGACATTTATTTGATTTTTGCAAGAATTTCAAATTTAATGTGTTATTTTACAGGAAACGGTGGCGTGAAAATGTCCATTACCATCTCTGTTACACCATCGACATAAAAAAAAATAAAAAAATTTAATACAAATTTCGAACGTGTTAGAAAGGAATAAAAAAATTAAAAACACTTCGGTCTTTCCTCTTAACAACATCAACATTTTGACGATAAAAAATTGATTTTATTAAGTTTGGGGTAGTTTTTCATCTTGGCATACCCTTTTTCAGCAATTTATAGGAGGTACCTACATAAAAATGTAATTTAAACTGTAATTATTATAGTGTTGCTATCCCATTTTATTACCTTTTATTTATAAGAAACCCCGTTATATTATTGAAGTAATTATAAACATTAATTTTGTCCTATATAATTACAATTGAGTGTGACACAATCGATATAAATAAAAGATTACACGACGGGAATTATATAGAGTTGATTAATTTTGTTCTAATTACATAGAGCGTGACACGAAAAAAATATAATAAATAAATGCACAACGGGATAAAGAGAAATGACAGCCAAACATCAACAGCAGCAGCAATCATAGGAGAAAAGAGAAACTTTAGCGAGTGTAGTCAAGCGTGAAGATTGGCAGCAGCAACCTTATCTGCAGGTAGATTAGGTTTAAGGTACCGAGTTCTCCACTTAGTATTGTTTCACGGGAAAATAGCCTAGTGGATTAAAGCGTTGGTCCGTGAATTTTGGTGACAGTGTGAAGTGTAAGCGTTCTCAAAGCAAATTTGTGGCTTTCACAACACAACGAAAGAAAATCACTTGTAACACGTCAGGAAAATAACTCACGAACGCCGTAGCCAAAACTGCCCGAATTTTTTCCTCCCGAGTCGACAACACCAACTGCTTTTATCGGCAGAACCTATTTTTTCCATTCGTCGACAGCCGGGATAGGATGCTCCGTAATTTGCATATTAATATCCTCTTATAGCGACTCCTGCGACGGACTTGTTTCTTTTTCGTCCCAGAATACACGCGACGCGCTGTCGCTTGGGTTGACGAGGTAAGTCGCTATAAGAGTTTTGCTGACTACTTTTTGGCAATCCCTCCCCGGCAGATCGCACACAAAACACGAACTTTTTTCCGGGGTACTTGATTATCTCGTTCACTACACAGTGATTGTGAGTTCAATCCCTGGACTCAGTGAAAACGCGGCCGAATAAGAAGTGAAGGAGATAAACTTATCTAGAACAATCTGCTCTTGTATATTAAATAGATGGTTGCTCTGATCGACAATTAACCGATGAATGTCATTGTGATAATAATCCGAGTAGGCCTGGGTACCCTACTTCTGTAATTTATCCCAAGAATCTTCTTCTCACAACAGGAAGAAGCCGGCTCAATCCGCCCAGGGTGAATGCCGCATCAATACAATAATAATAATTGTGATAATAATAATGACAACAAAGACGAGAACAATAGTCCGCATTTTAATAACGCCTCATTTTTTCTTCTTGCTTAAAAACTACGAGGTTTGCGCAGTTCATAGTGGCTCGCCTTTCCTACCCACTCAAGCATATTCTTGTATTCTTTCTGGGTTAAGAGTCTATGAAATAGTTAATTCTATAATCAGCGCATGTAACAAAACTTGCACCGATTCTTTGGTTCACTGTTTCATCTGTATTTTCATCCATTTTATCTTGCTCTGTTTCTTTTCGCTTTCTTGGTCTTTATAGAATTGATTATCATGGCGTTCTTTTAAGGTCGCTTAGTTCCTTTCTTCATATTGTATTCTACGTAGCCGCGTCCATATCGATTTATCTGCAATCCAATTGATTTGGCATCTTTTAAAATTATTTATTAGGGAGTATCAAAAGTGTTATTGTTTTTACAGACCTTTATTCCAACGCTCAATTCATGTACGTATTTGAAGAATATCTATGACTCCAATATGATGATGATGATGATGATGATGATGGTAGTGGTTGCGGTATTATTATTATTATTATTATTATTAGTCTATTATTATTATTATTATTATTATTATTATTATTATTTCCTTTGATTTCTGGTGTGCACTTATTTCTTTCCTTGTCCCGTCCAGAGAGCTAAAGCTAAAATGGCATCATGATATTTTCCACTGAGCAAAAAAACAATACAAAAACAAAACAAAAACTACTAAAAACGACAACAACAACACACCTATTTTACATCGATAAAACCCTTCGTAAGGTGTGTATTATACTCGTGAGAACAATTTTTTTTATATTATTTCAAGGCATGGGCTACCAGCGATCCCTTCAATCAGTCAGTCTATTGGAATTATTATTATTATTATTATTATTATTATTATTATTATTATTAGTGTTGCATTGTCATTTTCCTATAAAAATGTATTGTTGGTCATTTTATTATAAAAATGTACTGTTGACTTTTGTTTGGGTGGGGGTTTACTATTTGCCCATAAGTGGGACCCAAACAGGTGCTACGACCCCGGATCAGGTTTATTTCCTTTGATTTCTGCTGTGTGCTCATTTCTTTCCGTGTCCCGTCCAGAGACCTAAGGTCAAAAATGGCATCATGACCTTTTCCACTGAGCAAAAAAAAAAAAAAAAAACAAAAGAAAAAAAAAGAAGAAAAAAACAAAAACTAACAACAACAACAACAACACACCTATTTTACATAGATAAAACCCTTCGTAAGGTGCGGACTGTACTCGTGAAAAACAATTTTTTATATTACTTTAAGGTATGGGCTACCAGGGCTCCTTTCAATAAGTCAGTCTATTGGAATTTTTATTATTATTAGTAGTAATAGTATTAGTATTATTATTATTAGTAGTAGTATTATGAGTATTATTATTATTATTAGTAGTAGTATAAAAAGTAATTTACCCTCTTCTGACTCGGCCACAGAGCTTTCCCACAATTCTCGCTCGTGAACAGAGATGCTTAAGGAGACATGCTTAACTGGTCTGGCAAATGACAAGTAAATTGGTGACCCTGAACAGGATATTTATTGTCAGCCCTGTTAATTAACCAAGACAATACATGCAAATAGTGACCCCTTCTAATAAGTTAAGATCAAAACCGACGAAAGCTATGTTTAGTACAACAACAGGGCATTTATCCTCCTTCTTCTTGAACATTATTTATTTCATAAACAGTTCAAACAATTATCAACTTTCGACAAATCTTAAGAGTTTTAATTTGTTAGTCTGCTGTTCTAACCACTGACCCCAAACTGCGGATCATTTTAACATTTTCAGTTGGACAAGAAGAAAGCGGGACACTAACAAATTCCGGAAATTTCGTTAGTTCATTGTGTGCTGCAACAAAGAAATTGGATTCAAGAAATGTTTTCCGCCATGTTTTACGTTATTCTGATGAATAATGATAGCAAGATGAAAAAGGCGTGAATATTTTGATGTCCGAGTATAAAAGAATAATGCTTTTGGGTGAATGGCTGGACTCCGTACTGATGACTCTCTGATTGATAATCGATTAAATGAACAATCAATTGAACGCTTTGTTGCGTGAACAAATGCTGGCAGTTCGAGATAAAAAATTTTTTTTTTTAATGCTCCAGGGCAGCAGAAATTCTGATATTGAATTTAGTTAGGATCAGGAAAGGGAAAACAAATACTTAAAAAAGCTAATTTTCTTTCTCCATTAATTTTTCTTTCTTTCTTTCTTTCTTTCTTTCTTTTTTTCTTTCTTTCTTTCTTTCTTTCTTTCTTTTTTTCTTTCTCACTGCTTTGTATTTTTTCTTTGCTCTTTCTTTCTTTCTATTTTTGCTCTGTCTTTCTTTTTTCTTTGCTCTTTATTCTTTTTTTTTTTCTATTTATTTTCACTGCTTTGTCTTTTTTCTTTGCTCTTTCTTTACTCCTTTCTTTGCTCTTCACTGTTTTGTCATCTTTCTTTTTTCTTTTCTCTTCATTCTTTCTTTCTTTCTTTGCTCTTCACTCTTTGGTCTTCTTTCTTTCTTTCTTTCTTTCTTTCTTTCTTTCATTGCTATTTACTGTTTTGTTGTCTTTCTTTTTTTGCTCTTCTTTCTTTCTTTGCTCTTTACTGTTTTGTCGCCTTTCTTTCTTTCTTTCTTTCTTTCTTTCTTTCTTTGTTCTTTATTGTTTTGTCGTCTTTCTTTTTTCTTTCTTTTTTTCTTTCTTTCTTTCTTTGCTCTTCATTGTATTATCCCCTTTCTTCTTATCTCTTTTTTCTTTCTTTCATTGTTTTCATTGTTTCGTCTCTTTCTGTCTTCTTTCTTTCTTTCGACTTTTTCTTCCATTTATATATTCATTCCATCCTATTTTAATTTGTCTTTCTTTCCAAACCTTTTTCTTTCTCCAAAATGTTTCTATTAACTTTTCCTACTCCTTTCTTTAAGTAAGAAGAAACTTTCTGTCTCAAAAATCAGCATTTAAAATTCTCTACTTGTACCTGGGTTTGGCCAACAACTAATGTCACCGTTGGATAACAAGTAACAGTTTTAGCCACGTTGTAAATCATCCCCATTCCTTTCGTCTTCCTTCGGTAAGCGGGAGGTTCCACCCAGACAGCTCCTTCGCCAGAAGTGACACTGCGTGGAACAAACACCCGAGAGGACTCTTCCCTGACCATTACAATCTTAGCGTCCGATAGCTATCCTACGCGTCCTCATTACATGCACTTTTTACTTCCACCTCCCATACAACAATCTCAATAAACCTACATTGAGAGGCTCTTAGGCCTTGTATTAGGTGAACTAACAGTGAATAAAAACAAAACAAAATAAAACAGCAAATCGCGAAGTTACTCACCTAACTTCAGGTAGGTCATGTGACCTGTCATCCCAGAAGTACCTCCCCACCTATCGAGGTCTTTTGCTAGTATAAGTAGCGAAATTGTATCCGTCACCGGATTGCTAAGCCTGTTCCTTATCTTACAGTATCTGGTATTTTCCAGTGGTCACCCATCTGAGTACTGACCAGGCTCAACGTTGCTTAATTTCAGTGATCAGGTGAGGAGCGGTGTTTCAATGTGATATGGCAGGATTTGCAAGAGAGAAAGATGAGAGAGGATAATGAGAGGGAGGGGATACAGATAAAGAGGAAAAAAGTGAAAAGTAGAGAGAAAAAAAGAGGTGGGGAAGACGATAGAAAAGGAGTAGAAGAAAGTGACAATGAGCGAGAGGCACATGCCACTTTCTTTCTGATCACTTTAATCAAGATCGATTAACTTGATTTTCCCCATATCAAATTGAATTTCGCTCCACGGGTGAACGATTGCTTCTTTTCTCATTAAATCCTAACTTTCAAATGAAATATGAGAAAGGAAAATGGCCTCCTTTTTTTTCACCGAGGGAATATCAAATAGAACAGAAAACCTAGTCAATAGAATATTTGTCATGGATTTTTTTTTTCACGAGGCAACGCAGGATGGCTTGTGAGACAACGTTCTAAGATTATCTAAAGAGAATGTCTAAGAAAATAAAGAATGAAACATTCAAATGTTCATCGAAGACTTGATACTTTATAGTTTTGACACTTTCTTTGCTGGTTGATTTTGTTTAGGGGCATATCAACACCTCTATGGGTTATTTAATGCCGAAATCTAAATATTTTGTACATAAATTTATACTTTCATGATAAAGGTATGTATTTTTTGTATATATAGTTTGTAGATCATAAAATGTATTCTTGGTAATTTTACTATAAAAGTTTATTTTTATAATTTTTTAGTGATGCATTGATAGTCATTTTGCTATAAAAATGTATTGTTGGTCATTTTACTATAAAAATGTATTGTTGGTCATTTTATTATAAAAATGTATTGTTGGTCATTTTACTATAAAATGTATTATTGGTCATTTTACTATAAAAATGTATTGTTGGTCATTTTATTATAAAAATGTATTGTTGGTCATTTTACTATAAAATGTATTCTTGGTCATTTTGCTATAAAAATGTATTGTTGGTCATTTTATTATAAAAATGTACTGTTGACATTTGTTTGAGGGGGGCACTATTTGCCCATAACAGGTGCCCAAATAGGTGTTCTGACCCCGAATCAGGGTGAACAACACCAATTAAGGGGTGGTACCATGTAAATATTTGAAGAATATCTATGACTGCAATATGATGAGGATGATAATGCTGGTGGTTGTATTATTATTATTATTATTATTATTATTATTATTATTATTTTCTTTGATTTCTGGCGTTTACACATTTCTTTCCGAGTCCCGCCCTGGGACCTAAGGTTAGAAATGACGTCATGACACTTTCCACTGACAAAAAAAAAAAAAAATTAAATTACATAGATAAAGCCCTTCGTAAGGTGTGGGCTGTACTTGTCAGAACAATTTTTTGTATCTCCTTGAGGCATGGACTTCCAGGAATCCCTTCAATTAGTCTACTGCAATCTTTTTCAACCAATCCTAGGGCTCCAACTACAACAGGGATTGTTGATGTTCCCATATGCTACATTTTCGAGATTTCTACTTCAAGGTCCTTGTATTTTGACAATTTTTTGAATATCTTCAAAGATACATTGCAGTCAGCAGGGACTGCCATATCAATAAGGAGGCATCGTTTTTGTTTGTGGTCTTTAATAACAATATCTGGCCGGTTGGCCTTGATTGTTCTGTCAGTGTGTATTGTGTAGTTCAATAGAATTGTAACAGGTCCCATCTCCGTAACCGGGTCTGGGTGGTGTTCATACCAGTTTCTTTCAGTTTCCTTCCCGTAGAAGTTGCAGATTTTCCAGTGCAGATATTGGCCCACTCTGTCATGTCGGGTTTTATATTCAGTGGGTGCCAACACCGTACAACCTGATACAAGATGATCAATCGTTTCTGGATATTTATCACAGAATCTGCATTTTGGGCTGACACAATATTTTAGTATATGTGCTTGATAATTCCTAGTTAGCAAGCATTTGTCCTGCGCAGCAAGGATAAAACCTTCAGTTTCCGCTTTCAACCCTGCACTACGTAGCCACTGATGGGTACGGGTTTTTGTCTACGTCAGCTTGTTTGGTACGGGCAGAGTATTGGCCATGAAGCGGTTTATCTTGCCATCGCTTCTGTAACTGGTCGGTTGCATTCGTCTTTGCTGTCTTTTTTAGGTATTTTGCAGTTTCAGCCGGTGTATTGTGCTGTAGTTGCATCTCTACGCCCATTTGAAACTCCATTTTGAATTTGTTGGCTTCTTTCATTACGGAGTAAAGACGCTTACTATTTTCATGTTCCTTGACGCATACCATCATCCAGTCTTCTGTAGTTTCCAAATATCTTTGGAGCCCAATTGTTGTAGTTTTGTAGGACAGTTCTAGTTGAACTAATCCTCTGCCTGCTTCGGATCTGGGCACATACAGACCATCAACATCAGCTTTGGGATGATGCATGCGATAGCAAGTGAGAAGCTTTCTCGTTTTGGCGTCCATTCGCTTAATTTCAGCTATGAGCCAGTTAAGGACATTAAAGCTGTATTGCACCACAGGGACAGCCAATGTGTTTATGGCTGATATACTGTTTTTTGAGTTTAGCTCAGTATTTAGTACCAGACGTACACGCCTGTAATACTCTTTTCTTATTTTTTCCTTCATTTGGGGGTGTTGTATGCCATCTCCTTCGCTAATTCCTAGGTACTTATAAGCTTCACCATGCACCAGTTCCCTAATCTTTGTGACAAAATCTAAATCTATTAAGGGTGTTTCTGTAATTCTACCTTAATTAAAAGTTACTTTTGCACATTTATCTAATCCGAAGTCCATACCTATGTCGTCACTGAAGTATTTTACAATATTGAGGAGGCCTTTCAACTCATTGTCGTCTTTGGCAAAGAGTTTGAGATCATCCATGTAGAGTAGGTGATTGAATATTTTCTTATTTATTTTGTAACCATAGCTACTGTTGTTCAGTTCATGTGTACACACACACACACACACACACACACATATATATATATATATATGCTTTTTCTTTTCTCTCAATCCAACACTAATTGCACACTTGGAGCTACTTACATTTTTTACCACCCACGTTGTCTCTTTCACCTGGAGACTTAAAGCCGAGCTCAAAATCAGGCCCTCTGTCATCGTACCACACTCACTCTTGAAGATCCTCTCCCTCCACCTGTGTCTCCTTTTCCTTTTTCCTCTCTATCCCTTTAAAAAAAAAACCGACAGCGAAAATTATTATTATTATTTCCTTTGATTTCTGGTGTGCACTTATTCCGTGTCCCGTCCAGAGACCTAAGGCTAAAATGGCATCATGACATTTTCCACTAAGCAAAAAAACAAAAAACAAAACAAAAACTAAAAGCAACAACAACAACAACAACACATCTATTTTACATAGATAAAGCCCTTCGTAAGGTGTGGACTATAATCGTGAGAACATTTTTTTATATTATTTCAAGGCATGGGCTACCAGCGATCCCTTCAATCAGTCAGTCTATTGGAATTATTATTATTATTATTATTATTATTATTAGTGTTGCATTGATTGTCATTTTGCTATAAAAATATATTATTGGTCATTTTATTATAAAAATGTACTGTTGACTTTTGTTTGAGGGGGTCACTATTTAGCCATAACTGGGACCCAGACAGGTGGTACGATCCCGAATCAGGGTGAACCTGGAAACAACTGCAATTAAGGGATGGTTCCACGCTCCTAAATATTTCCAATTTTCCAATCAGAGGCCTTGCTGCTGGATGTAGTTTATCGTCATACCCAGGAGGAGATATTTACTTTGTGACGATTGGGTGTTTTGTATATTGTTACCACATAAACAAAAGCCGATAATATTTACTGATTTTTAAAAAAAAGTTAAAACGAGGAAAAAGGTTGCAAACCTAACATTTTAGGTATTAAACGAATCGGTTACACTAGAATTCAATATACACTAAATACAGAGTTCCCAAAAAATGTATACACACTTCAGTAAAGAAAAAAGTTGTCTAGATATTGTAATACTAAATTTATTCAGACATCACGAGAATTATACAAGTTACCTTTGCATTTTACAATCACAAGTGATGCTCAAAATGGTGGCCTTTATCTTCCAGACATTTATTAGTACGGCGAACTACTGCTTGGGCAAGGTGTGAACTGTTCCAATACCATAGCCGAAGAAGCAGCACTTGTTGTCTGTTACAGTTTTATTTATGCACATCAAACACGGTATCATGTGTTTCAAACATCATGAATTCGTGAAATTGTCAAATGCATGGGAAGTTTGTGTTCCATTGTCTTTGGATTTCAACAACATTCTCAAATTTGAAATATCACTTTAAAATAATCTTACGTTCCCCGACAAATGCTATCTGTCGAGAAACAGTGTTATCGCAATTTGAAAATACTTCGCGCAAGATTCACTCACCTTTTGCCGAATTCTGATGAGTCATTTCCAGATGAGTTTGCCACTGACTGATTTGATGGAGAGATATATTGGTGAATTGAGTCCACTAATGCTAATGTGTTGGGCAGGTCTATTCTAGTAAAGTAGACTAACCCACCCTCTGTATTAGGTATTCTCCTATAAATGAGGTAGAAATGAGGTACCTTGCCATTGCAAGGAGACAAGTAGGCAGCCATGTTAGAAGGTGAACGCCCACATAGATACAAAAAAGCATTAAGCACAAAAACAAATAAACCATGATCAATAAAATATCGAATTTAGGAACAAAAATATTAGATAGATTTCAATAAAAAAGGGAAAAAAACAAACGACACGAAGAGTAACGTGAACACTCGAAAACGCGATATTTAAAAAATAAAGAAACCGACATAGCGCAAAACCAAATGGGTTTGATAATGATCAACGATAACCGAAAGTACTTAGACATTAAAGAAATTATATTTAAATAAATACCGGAAAAAACCCTAATATGATACTACATATAAAAAAATAAAACAAAAAATCCTGATGATATAACTTAAATTTTATTTAAACACACACACACGCACGCACGCACGCACGCACGCACGCGCGCGCACACACACACACACACACACACACACACACACACACACACACACAC